GCCTTCCACACAGTGGTGCCGGGCAGGCAGATGGGGAAGGCCTGCGCGCGGGCGGCGTGGCAGGTGAGGCGGGGGTGAGAGGGCGGGCAGGGGGTGCGCCGCGCCGTGCACGCGCTGCCGGGAAGCCAGGGCTTGCCGGCGCGCCGCGCGCCTCACCAGGAAGCCGTCTGTCATGGCGGAGTATCCTCGGGAGAAGTTGGCCCTGACCTGGGGGTCATCCAGGTATGGGCCGAGGAACACATCCTGGCTGGTGGCCTGGTTCATGTCCCTGCGGGGCGGTGGGTGGGTGGGGTGGGGTGTGGAGAAGGCACACCTGTCGGTCGTGCCCAGCCCTGGCTCAAATGCCTGCCCCGCTGGGCTACGCAGCAGCCCTGCCTCGGTCCTCACGGCGCCAGCGCGCCGCCTGCCTGCACCCCCCCCACCACCACCACCTGACGCTCTCCCGGATCTCCCGCGTCTCCGGCCGCTTCATCCACTCGGCCAGGTGCCGCCGAATGATTCCGTCCTGCGCCAGGTTGGCAAAGCGGGCATGCCACGGCCCGATCAGCCAGCCAGCCAGCCCGTCAGCAGGCCGCCAGCCGGACAGGGCAGCTGGGGGCAGCAGCAGCGCATGCACGCATGGCACTGCCCTGCCGACACCAGCCGCTGCCTGCCCCATCTGCCAACACCGCCCCCCGCCCGCACCTGCAGCTGCGTGTATGTGGACAGCGCCTTGCGGGTGAAGAGGCAGAGGAAGGACTTGCGAATGGCCTTGTGCTCGGGCCCGTGCATGAAGGCCAGGTTGTTGGCGCCCAGGATGGTCTTGCCGCTGGGGTGCAGCACCATGAGCATGCGGCTGGCGTCATTCACCGCCATCAGCTCCCGGCACTTGTCGGCGTCGGTGACGGTCAGGATCATCTTGCCGGCCAGGCTGTTGTACGAGTAGCCGGGGCTGGTCACGTTGGCGGCGTCCTTCTGGCGCTCCCAGAAAGAGTACGGGTCCAGCACCATCTCGATGAGGCCGCCCAGGAAAGGCGTCACGCGGCTGGGGCCCGGCACCAGCTTGCCATCCTTGCGCCGCCTGCGCGCACGCGCGCGGCAAGGCCGGTCGGCGCCCGAACGCACCCGCCAGGCAGCTCGGCGTGCGCAGGACAGCCAGGGTCTGGCTCAGTCATGCCCAGCAAGGCGGCAGCAGGCTGTAAGGAAGGCCGGCTCCCAGGGGGAACTAGCGCCGCCGTTGCCGCCGCACCACCACCGGGCGCTGCCGCGCCGACGCCCAGCCTGCCCTGCACGCACCTGGCCATGTGGAAGCGCAGCTGCTCCCACACCGCATACGCGCCAGTGGCCGCGCTGGCATACAGCAGCAGCGAGCTCGTGCTGAGGCCCGCGCCGGCGCCCAGGCCGACCAAGCTGTCGAGCAGCGGCAGGCCGGTGGCCACGCCCGAGCCCTGCAGGCGGCGGCACATGGCCTGTCAGAGGGCCATGGGCTACGCACAAGGTCCCCTCTGGGCAGGCAAGCCACAGGTTTGGGTGTTGGGGCGGGCAGCGTCTGCCCAAACATCCGCCAGGTGGGGCACCACGCTGGGTGGCCGGCCGATGGGTTCATGCGCATGGCATGAGCGCCGGCAGCAGCCCAGGTGCCGTCCCCAGCTTGCCCCAACAGCGTCAGGCACTTGCCATTGCTTCAGCGTTGGTCTCATTCAAGGCAGCCATGTCTGCCCCGACCCAGGCTCGCAGCCAATGAAAGCCTCCTTCTAGACCCCAAACACGCGCAGCGGCTGAGGCACTTTCAATAGCTACGATCGGGGTGCCAGCCCTGGCGGTTGTGCAGGCGTCGTGGACCCGGGGCACCACCCAGTTAGGTCTAAACTAGCATTAGCAATCCAATCTGAGCCGATTGGCTGCGCAGCCCACCGCGGGTGTGACACGTACCCCAACATGCTCAGCAGGCGCGCGCTCTGTAGTGAGACCCAGACGTCAGCGGGGACGCAGAATCTCCCGGTAGACAATAGCTGCCAGGCAGGGATTTTTGGGACTGGGAGTTTCACAGATCACGCCACATCTGGCGCAATTGCGTAGCTCTGCCTCGGCCCACCCCCAATTGCACCCTCCCACGCATCCGGCATGCAGAATGATATGGGTTCGACCTCGCCGGGGCAGCAGCAGGTAGGGGGAGCGGCGCAGAGAGGGGCAGCGCCATGCTCAACCGCTGCCACATGTCAGGGGTGCTGCAGAAAAATGCACCCAGCTCCTCCTTTCTTGTCTGCATCGCTGGTGCAGGGCCGCATGGTGGTGTCGCTGAGCGCCCGCGCAGGCGCCCGCATCCCAGGGCCGCCCCCGCCGCCACCCGCCCAGCCAACCGCCAGCGGCGGCGCCCAGGATGGGCCTGCCGCCAGCCGCTCCTCCTCCTACTCCACCCTGACCAGCATGGCCAGCGCAGTGGTAAGCAGGCGGCGTGCTTGTGCGCTGGGAGCAGATGCAATGAGGGGTTGGCACACCGTGCAAGTATGGGAGGCGCCCCTGCTGGCTGCAGGGGAGGAGCGGCCTGGGCGACAGCTTCACATCCCGCGAGAGGCAGGCAGACGAGGGCCACAAGCCCTTCTCCCGGGTGCAGGCGGCAGTGAGGTGCGGCGCTGGCGGCGCCGTCAGCGGCGTGCCTTCACGTGCCATGCAATGGCAGCGTGGCGCTGAGAGGAGGCTGCATCGCTAGGCATCCCTGCCATGCCAGGCTCAGCCCCCGCGCACCCTGCTGCGCCCGCGTGTGTGCAGGGTGAGGCCGATGGCGCCCGCGGCGGCCGAGGGCGGGCGGCGGGGCCCCGCTGCGCGGTCGGCGCTGAGCGTGGATGCGGGCGGGAGCGCCGTGGTGGCGGCGACGCCCAAGGGGGAGACCCGGCGGTCGTTTGACTGCGTGCTGGGCCCCGGGTGCAGCCAGGAGGAGGTGTACGAGGGGTGCGTGGCGGACCTGGTGGCCGCCTTCCTGCAGGGCCACACCTCGTGCGTGCTGGCCTACGGGCAGACCGCCAGCGGCAAGACGCACACCATGGGCATGGCGGGTGCGTCGCACTGGCCCTGACACCCATGCATGCTGGCGGCGCTGCATTGCGGCACAGCGCTCGTGCCTGCTGGAGCAGCTGATGTAAACAGAAGGGTGGATGCCGCGCGCGGCCCCATCCCCGCCACTCGCTCCTCTCCCCTCCCCGGCACGCCTGCAGGCATCCCCGCCGACGAGCGCGAGCTGGGCATCCTGCCGCGCGCCGCCGCCGCCGTGTTTGACCACGTGCGGCGCCACAGTGGCGCGCCGGGCGACCCGGCGGGCACACGGTACCAGCTGGAGGTGCAGTTCCTAGAGGTGTACCAGGAGGAGGTGGTGGACCTGCTGGCAGGCGGTACCGCCGCCGCCGCCGCCGCGCCGCGCCAGGAGGGCAGCGGCAGCGGCGCGGCCGGCGGTGCCGGCGGTGCGGCCGGTGGCGGCGGCAGCCCTCAGAAGAGCGACATCGTGATCAGGGAGGGTGGGTATGCCCTTGCTCTCGCCCCGCTGTCCCCGGCTGCGTTGCTGGGGTGCGCCTGCCACCCTTCTGCGGCCCTGCATGGCCTCGTGCCGCGCCTGGCCCGCCGACGCACGCCCCGAGCTGCCTGCCTGCCTGCCTGCTGCGCTGCGCTGCGCTCCCTCCGCGCAGGCGAGCACGGCGACGTGCTGGCGCACAACGCGGTGCGGGTGGGGGTGGCCTCCTCCGCGCAGCTGCTGGCGGCGTTTGAGCGCGGGGTGCAGCTGCGCAGCGTGGGCGCCACCGCCATGAACAGGCACAGCTCCCGCTCCCACGCCATCTTCACACTGCTGCTCACACGCGCCTGGGCCGACGTGCGCGGCAGGCGGCTGAGGGCCCGCTCCAAGCTGCACCTGGTGGACCTGGCGGGCAGCGAGCGGCAGCGGCGCACGGGGGCCGCGGGGCAGCGCCTCAAGGTGCGGCACGCGGCGGCGCTGCCTCGGTGGGCGCTTGCGAGGAATGCCCCGCCTGCCGGGCAGCAGCGGCGCGGCCCAGCAGGGGCCGCGCGGTCCTCCCTTGCTCCGCTGCTGTGCTGCTCAGCAGGTGTGCCACCCCGCACCTCCTGAGAGCCAGTCGGTGGCCACACACACACACACACACACACACACACACACTAGTGCCCGCAGGAGTCGAGCGGCATCAACTCGGGCCTGCTGGCGCTGGGCAAGGTGGTGGCGGCGCTGGCCCGGCTGGACCCTGCCGCAGACGCACGGCCCCACGTGCCCCTGCGCGACTCCAAGCTCACCCGCCTGCTGGCCGACAGCCTGGGCGGCACCTCCGCCACCGTGCTCATCGCCTGTGTGGCGCCAGACATGGTGGGCGGGTGGGAGGGCGGGTGGCGGCCCGGCAATGCCATGCAACGCGCCGGCCTGTGGCGGCGGCTTGTGCTTGCCTTGCATGCCCACGGGCAGCCGCAGAAGTGGGCCCCAAAGTTTCCCAACTCCACTGTTGTTTTCTGTGCAGATCAACCTGGAGGAGAGCCTCAGCACGCTCCAGTTTGCGTCCAGGGCCCGCCACATCGCCAGCAGGCAGGAAGTGCGCACCGAGCTGGTCAAGGTGCGGCTGGCCGCCTGCCTGCCCCTCATGGCGTGGCAGCGCCACTGCCGAGTGGGCTGGGGCTGGTAGGGTTGAACGGCGGCGGCCGCGCGGGTCGGCGGCACTGCCGCTGCGTCCTGCGCACAATGTGTGCCCGCTCGCTCACCCGGCGCCGGCGTGCTGCCTGTGTGTGCGCGTGTGTTTCCGTGCAGGACGACGAGGCCCCCGCCAGCGCTGAGGAGGAGGAGTATGCGCGCCTGGTGGGCCTGCTGCAGCGCGAGGCGCAGCTGTCCTGGTCGGCGGCAGCCGCGCCCACAGCGGAGGGCCTGATGGCGTGCCTGACGCAGGATGCTGTGTGGCAGGTGCTCAGCAACTACCGCCAAGGTGAGTGAGTGGGGCACCTGGTGCACCGAGGCCTGGCAGCAAGGGCGGGACGAGGGCGGCGGTTGGGCGGCGCTCGATCGTGCGCGCTCCAGCCACACGCCGCTCGCTGCTCACGACACCGCCAAGGGCCGCCGCCCGGCTGCCCGCGCTGGCGCCGCCCTGCAGCTCGCGGCGGCAACGCGCACCTGGCGGCGCTGAAGAGCGCTTCCGTCATGAAGTCGCAGGCAAGCCCTTCGCTGTGGCATGGGGCATGAGGCATGGGGCATGGGGCATGATATAGCCAATGCCAGGCCCCAAGCCAGCCATGGATGGCCGCTGCGGACCTCTTAACCTCCCTAGTGCTGCCTCCGCCCATTGCTGCTTGCGCTGCAGGACATCATGGGTGCGCTGATGCAGGAGGTGCACGACGGCGGCACCGACGGCCTGCTGCTGTCTGCCAGATCTGGTGCGCAGCCGACTGGGCCAGCCAAGCAGCGCCAGGCGCACACGCCAGGCGCATGCGTGCAGGATGGGGTGGCACGGTGCGCATGGCAGCCGCCACCTCTGCTGGGCATCTGGACTCATCGTGCGCCTGCCTGCCTGCCTGCCTGCCATGCAGCCCGTGGTGTGCCGCCTGCGGCCGACACGCCGCTCGGCCGCTTCCTCAGCGAGTCGAGCTACAGAGACAAACAGAGGATGGTGGAGGAGGACAGGGCAGTTGCGGCGGCGGCCACCGCCATGAGCCAGCAGCAGGCCCGCCCCGCCAGGCGGATGTTTGCGTGCTTTGGCTTCTGACCGATGTGTTGAGTCCCAAACATTTGCTGCACTGCTGACTACCATCAATTTCATTCAATCATTCATTCCACCTGATGCACAGACATCCGGGGCATCACCTCTGCCTTCTTTCTGACTGACACCTGATTGTCTGTGGGGCAGACAGGGTGCTGCTCTCCCCCCAGACCTGCACATCCGCCCTTTCACTTGTGACGGTGATTTCGGCCCACCACCCTCCAACTACTGTACCTGCTTTCATGGTGGAACCAGAACTGCTAGAATAATATATGTTGGTTCCCCCGGCGCCCCTCGGAATCCTGGCGCCCCCTCGGCAAATGTGAAGTTGACCGCGCCATTGCTGGCAACAGTGCCTCGCTTCTGATTGAGTAATGATCAAGATGCACGCGTCTTGCATGTAACAAACTGATCGACTAGCTGCAGGGGCGCAGCTTGGAGTTGCCCCAGCCGCGCGGATTGTCATCTTTGAAATCATCCCATGCCCGCTGCTGCGGCCAGGAGAAGAGCAGGGAAGCGGCAGGCAAGCAATGAGCGGGCCGCTGCCACACACGCACAGAGCGACTCTTGAGCGTCAACAGGCAGCGGCTGCGCGGGCAGCGGGCAGCCAGGCGCCGAGCGCCTCCCAGCCCCACCTGCTGCACCTGCTCCTCCTCAACGTCCTCCGCCCGCCGCGCCGCCTGCTGCCGCTCGTGCCGCTCCTTGGCCGCCGCCTCCCGCCGCTGCTGCTCCACCATCCTGCAGGTGGGGGGCAGCAGGCACAGCAGCGGCTGTGGCAGCTCTGGGGGGCGCCTGCCGCTGCTGCCTGCTGGGTGCCAACCAAACCACAACCACCCGCGGCAGCGCCTGCGGGGCCAGGGGCAGAGAGGCAGCAGCGCCTGCCTGCGGTACTCCAGCTCCCCAAACTGCTCCACGCTCATCGTGGGCTGCACATGCCCAGGCCGGAACACCCCTGCAGCCAGCTGCTCACGCCGCGCGCCAGCGCCGGCCAGGCCGCCGGCCGCCGCGTGCAGCTGGCGCAGCAGGTCCGGCGGCGGCCCCGCCTGCTGCCGCTGCTCCCGCTCCCGCTGCCGCTGCTGCTCGGGCATGGCGGCCGCGTGCGCCAGTATCTGCACCTCCTGCTGCAGTGTGCCCATGCGCTCAGCAGCCTGCTTGCACAAAAGGTACAAGGCATGAGTGGGCCGGGTGGCGACAGTCTAGGCCGCGATGGGCAGCTGGCAGCTGGAGGGCGACAGCCCAGCAGTGTGCGCAACGTCCAGCGCAGTGTCTAGCCTGCAGCCAAGCGGCCAAGCCTCCCCGTGCGCACCTGCAGTGCTGCCAGGTCGGCCTGCAGCATCCACAGCTCCCGATCCGCCTCCTCGGCATCCCCGCCCCGCTGCCCCCCCGCATGCTCCCCCTCTCCTGCCCCCGCCTGCTGCCGCTGCCGCTGCTCCAGCTCCGCCAGCCGGCCCTTGACGTATTTCTCCCTACAGCAGGCAGTTTCAGGGCAGGCGGGCTGAAGGGACGGCGGGCTGGCTGCGCAACGCACGCCTGGCAGCCTGTCACGCCGGGGGCAGCCCGAGCCCTCCACCTGCCCCACCTCTTGAACTTTTCAATCTTGTTCTGGCGCAGGGTGGCGGCATCCAGCGTGCGCCCCTGCTGCTTGCTGCCGTGGTCGCCGCCCCCATCGCCCTGCTGCAGCGCCGCATCTGCCATCGCTGTGGCCGGCGGGCTGAGCAGGCCGTACTGACGGCAGCGGTGCAGGAACGCCCTGTACTGCTCGGCGGCGCTGGTCAGCGCGGCGATGCGAGCGCGGGGGTCGGCTGCACGGCACAGGAGCGACGGCGGCAGCTTGCACGGTGCACACTGTGGGCCCTGGACCAAGCGACAGCGGATGGGCCGTGCCAGGAGGGCCAGCCGCTGCACCTGTGAGCCAGGCGGAGCGTGCCGGCACACCAACCTGCGTGCGTGTGGGTCAGCGCCTCTGCCGCATAGAAGGGGATGAGCAGGTACTTGATGTCGGCTGTGGCCAGGTCCTCCAGCTCCTCATTGGAAGAGAAGAGGGCCAGGGCATCGGCGGCGGCGGCCGCCTGCCGCCAGACCGCGCCGCCCCGCTGCACCAGCTGCTGCGTGCCCGCATCCGAGGCGGGCAGCCCCTCAAGCTGCTTCAGCAGGGCCCGGCCCCGCTGGAAGAGGGCCGGCAGCGGCACGTCCTGCACAGGGGCGGCCGTGAAACTTGGGACACACAGGCGGCGGCTGTGATCGCGTCGGTGGCATGTAGCCGTGCCTACTGGCGTGTCGGGGATGTGCTGGTCAGCGGTTCTGCACCAACCTGCAGGTCTTCAGAGTCCGACATGTGTGTAATGGTGGTCTCACCAACTGCAGGGCTATGGTGCGATTGCTGGTCGATTGATGGGATGCAGAAAGAGGCGAAACCATCACAATAGTGCCACCTGGCTGCCTAGCTGGCCGTCATCGAAGAGAGAGAGAGAGAAGCAGGCTTCTCCTCAGATCATCACGCATACACCCTGCAACTCTCACACGATTGTCCAAAGATGGCAGAGCTTGCTGATCTCATGACTGCCGCCGTCCCGCAGCCTTCCCTGCTGCAGTCCCAGGCTGGCGCGGCCGCCCTGGCACTGGCCATGCACTGTAAGCCGCGGCTCGCATCGCCTGCAGCCTAGAAGCAGAGTGGCGGTAACAGCGGTGGCGGGCGGTGCCGCTCGGTCCAGGTGCAGAAGCACAGCCGGCTTGTTACTCCACCCCTCTCACTGCTGGCCTGTCTGCTGCAGGCCTGCTGGTGCGCGACGGCTTTGAGGCGGTGGAGGTGGCGCAGGGCGGGGCCCCGGGGCGCCGCCTCAGGGGGCTGCTGGCCCCGGACTGGAACAAGGCCGAGCACTTTTGGGTCTTTGAGTACACCCGGCAAGTGCTGCCCCCGTACTCACGACCGCCCAGGACAAGGCAGGCTTGTCGCAGAGCGGTGACAGGACGTTTTTCTTTGTTTTAAAAGCATGCGTGTGCAAAACCCGCTTGCTACAGGCCCGGGGCGGCCAGGAAGTTCCGGCTGCAGTGCTCGCTGCAGGCCCACACGCGCCGCATGTTCATCCACGCGAGCGAGGTGGATGCCGAGGGGCAGCCAGAGGCGGACAACATCCGGATCATGGGCCTGCAGCTGGACAACTACGTGCCCAGCGGGGACCACTGCGCAAAGAGCAGCAGCTGGGATGGTGAGCGGGGTGCACGCAGCCCGTGGCGGGATGGCAGGCAGGCGGCGGCGTTCTGCATGGGAGCGAGCGCAGCTCCAGAGAGCGGATGCCAAGGTGCCTCCTGTGTCCTGTGTGGGTGCAGGGGTGATCCACAACCAGCAGGCGCTGTGCGAGATGTATGCGGAGTTTGTGGGGGCCCCGCTGTGGCGGCACGCCCAGAAGGCACAGGGCAGCAGCGGCCGGTGGGCGGCGCTGGCGGGCGGCGCGTGGGAGCAGCGCACCCTGCTGCTGGCGGCGCTGGGGGTGTCGGCGCTGGCGGCAGGCGTGCTGGCGTACCGGCGACGCAGCGCTGCCTAGGCGCGCGGGTGGCGCGGCTCCGTTGCGGCGCAGGTGCACCCTAAGCGGTGCATGCTTATTTCCACTGATTGCCAGGACCGCACTTGCTCATTCCCATCTGATGCATCAAGCACTTGCATGGCAGGATCAGCGTGGCGCCGACCCGGGCCGGCTGCAAGCATTTATTGGTTTTGAAGATTAAACTTGAAGATGAAGAGGCATCAGGCCCGCTGCCCGTGTTTGTTGCGGTGCATGGCAAAAAATAGAGGGGCGTACAGCGTGCGGCAAGTGGACGTTGCGAAACCAAACCAAAAGCATGGCCTCCCTCCTCACAGTTCAAGGGCGAGGGAGGACGGCCGTGGGGCGAGGGGCGTGAGCGCAGGTATTGTCCAGTGGCAGCCAGGCGAGCAATAAGCCTGGAGCACACCACGTCATGCACGTGTTGGTGGGGTACAGAGTTGGACGCAGTCAGGTGAAGTGAAAACGGGGCTACAAACCAAGACAAAGCGGGGGGGTGAAACAAACAGGAGGAAAAGGTGTACAAACAAGAGGGTGCGCCGCGCTTCTTCTTCCCAGCACCCCGCTGGCATGCGGCTGGGTGGGACGCCGCACCTGCCGCTGCCAGCGGGCAGGGGCGCAGGCGCTCAGCTGGGGGCGCCCGACCGCCGCCGCCTGCCGCGGAACATGCCCCCCAGCAGGGGCAGCGCGGTCAGCACCAGGGTGCGCATCGCCAGCAGCAGGCGCACAGAGATGAAGATGAGGAAGCCGGCGGCCTGCGGAGGGGTGGGGGGCGGGCAGGCAGGCGGGTGGGGGAGGAGAGGCGTGGTGGCAGCGGCTGCGTGGCACGTGATGGTGGCAGAGGCGAACACCGCAGCCCAGCAGGCACAGCGCCGCACACCAGCGCCGCCCCCGCCCCCTCCCGCCCCACCCGCACCTGTATGACCAGCATGGCGATGCCCATGTTCTGCCGCTGGTCGGCAGTCCACGCGGGCTTGGCGATGAGGATGATGCCGCACACAAAGACGGCCAGGTCGCACAGGCTGGCCACCATCTCGGCCGCCAGCTCGATGCGCATGCGGAAGGGCAGGCAGATGCGCAGGTAGAGCAGGTGGGCCA